AAAAAAAAAAAAAAAAGATCTGTAGAAGAAGAAATGGAACACAAGACAATATGAAAAGCAAAAATACACAGAAATATCAAAACCACACAAATGATTTAAGTTTTTTCGCCATTCTTCTCTTTCATGTAATGCAGCTCAATAATGTTTCATCACAACTCCATTTCACACGAACAAAATCAGTCTTTTTAGTTTTTACCAAAAAAACCAGCCATTACAACAAACAACACGCCATAAGATAATTTCTCAGAGACAATGTACCTACCTTGGACATCGAAAAACCATATTCGAACATGAAAACTACACACAGACGATCCCTCACAAGCTCTCCTGCAGTTGATCGAGAAGCACAAAATTTCATCCTCACCCACACCAAACTACTCACCACCCAACAAAGGTATATTCGAAATGTAAGCTGCATCATCGAGACACCCCACCTGCCTCAAGATCTCCAACAACGACTCCTTTGTCACTGCATCATTATCTTTAACATCACATCATATCAAAGTTATTATCTTTTTAATCAGAAATTGTACTTTCTTTGCAAAATAAGTTATCCGTGCATAAGAATTGAGATGAAATACCATATCTAATTGAAATATATACTTTTACGCACAGACACACACACACGAACCACCAAAAAAAAATGTTTATAAAAGAAGAAATGGAACACAAGACACTATAAAAAGCAAAAATACATAGAAATATCAAACCACACAAATGATTTAAGTTCTTTCACCATTCTCCTCCATGTAATGCAGCTAATGTTTCATCACAACTCTACTTCACACGAACAAAATCAGTCTTTTTCCAAAACAAAAACAGCCACTACTAGGAACAGCCCCCGACAAAAGATGACTTCTCAAAGGCAATGTACCTACCTTGGACATCGAAAAACCATTTTCAAACATGAAACCTACACACAGACGAGCCCTCACAAGCTCTCCTGTAGTTGATCGAGAAGCACAAAATTCCCATCCTCACCCCCACCAAACTCGTCACCACCCAATAAATGTATATTCGACATGTAAGTTGCGTCATCGAGACACCCCACCTGCCTCAAGATGTCCAACAGCGATTCCTTAGCCGCCACATCATCACCTTTCTCCACAATCTCCAGAATTTTGGACACAGTCTGATGCCTCGGCTTCCAGCTTACTGACCACACGGCCGAGGCCGCATTTTTCAGGCAAGTAAGAGCCTCGGAGATCCTCATATTGGCAATGTGGTCCTCCGAGAGTTTCTCCCATGTAAACGGGCTGGATTTCCCTCCCATTTCAGTCATCTGGTCGAATAAAGTCTCCGCCTTCTGGGAAAGCCCCTCTCTCAAAAAAGCGCCCAAGAGCAGATTACCTATCCGCGGGTCAAAAGCCGATTTTACCGAAAGCCACTCATCATACATCTTCTCAGCACCCTCGATGTCATCCGATCGGATAAGGGCGTAAATCACCGCTTGATACCCATAGTTAGGGATATTTGCAAACGAGGCCTTGTAAATGTTCCATATTCGATAAACCTCCTCGTTCCTGCCCATTGTACCATAAAGGGTAATGAGAGAGTGGTAAGGCCTACGGTTCCAGGCCATAAGCCCGTTCTCGAGTTCCCTTAGACACTCCTCGGCTTTCTCCAGGAGACCCGATTTAATATATATCGAGGCCATCGTGCTGAAAGTTGACCAGTTTGGATCTATGGAGTTCTCGAGCTCCATCTGCTGATAAACTTGCTCCATTTTATCCAGGGAGCCTTGGGACCCACGGGAAGAGAGCCATATATTGTAGGTACAGATATCTGGCGATATCCCTTTGGCCAATACTTCTGACATTAACGACTCCACTTTCTCGTGGTCTTTGAGGTTCAGGTAGAGGGTCATCATCACATTGAAAGGGAGGATTGTGTTGGCGTAGTTTCTGTTTCTCATTTTGTCCATTAGGGACTCGGCTTTTTCCCTCATCTTTGAGCGGACAAACACATTTAGAAGAGAGCCATATATTCTATTGTCCATTGAGCTGTCTGGAATTTTTTTGAAGTATTGTTCGGCGCTCGAGACACCGTGCACTTTCGCAATGAGGTCGAGCTGGATAGCAGCATCGCTGGAGGTTGGTCTGAACCTCTGTGGCATGTTATTCATCCATTCATATATCTGCACAAAGCACAAACGTTTGGATGCTAGAATTGAAGAAAAGAACTAGAGAAGTGACTGGCTTGATTTAAAAGCAAAAGCTTTAACTATCCAGCTCAATATAATCCAAAACAACATTTCTTGCTTCATAGTAGACCATCAATAAAACCAAAGCATATGAGTCGAAATTGGGAGTCCTGATGGATGGAAGCAGAAGCTAACTATTACTTCAACTCTACATAATTTAATGCCGCCCGGAGTTCCTCAAGAATTTTGTAACTCATGATTCTCAGAAGATATTTTAATCGATTTTTTCTTTTAAAAAGAACACATCATCAGAAACTGTTCCTTTAATTCTACAGAAAACCACGGAGTACCAATCCACACCTACTGGACGATCTTTTTCTTCTCCTTGTTCAATGTCTAGAGGCAAACTTATGATTTAAAAAAGAAAAAAAAAAAGGGGTCGAGCTTCTGAAAAATCAAATTTACCTCAAGCGCGTGTTTGAACCGCTTTAACTTTCTGAGCTCCTTCACAACTTTGGAAAGGTCCCATTTTTTTATTTTCCTCCCCTCATTTTCGATCCGACTTAACACTGCAGCAACCCCAGAATCCGGGTATTTCAGCACATATACTTCATTGTAAATGTCCCCCCAACTGAGCAAGGCCTTCCTCTCGTAGTCAACTGTTCCGCGGCTGTTAACCTGTGGTGTCGATAAACAAGTAACAAAAACTGCGTTTTCGTCATGGGTTTTATAGCCGGTGGTGTATAAGATGGATCTTTTCAGAGAAAAGGATGAATTTTGAAGGAGCCCAGATGAGAACGAGAGCGCATTTGAAGCGTAAACATTGCAGTGATTCTGTCTGGGATAATTTGGAGGAGGTTTTGGGATGGTGGGTTGGAGAAGCATGGCGCTCTGTGATTGTGTGAAAAAATTTCTAGGGCGCAGATAAAATTTGGATATTATTTTCTGAAGATAAAAAAATCATTATCTTGATTTCTTGTGCATTTTTCATAGTTTTTTTTACTTATATTTTCTTAAATTTTGGATATGCCCTCAAGTTTGTTCTATTTTGGAAGAACCCCACAAAAGTTTTATGTTCTGTTTTGGACTCGAATTCGATAAAGGATATGACATTTCTCTCAGTCTTCCTTAATAAGTTGAGCTGACTCGTTCAGTTGTTCACTTGTTTGCATATGCAAGATGCATCTAAGGGTCCATCCTACATTGAGCTGTTAAACAATTCACACAGCACGGTAAGGATGAAGAAGTTTCACCTCGATAGGCTTCCTAAGCTCGGAAATAAGATTTTTTATAACTTAAAGTTCGAGTTCGACTCGTTAATATTGAAATTAAGCTACTCTCAAGCTCGATTCAATATTCATTTAGTTAAAAGTTTAACTCGTTAAAAGGTCAAGCTCGAGTACTATGAATTCGAACTCAAATCGACACCCCTAAAACTAATCCTACCCTTGTAGTTATACTACCTCAATGGAGATTTCGACGGTTCGATTATACATGCTCATGCACATGCTCGTGTTGATCTTTTTTAATCCAACATTTAAAGTTCAAGATAGTGCCTTTAGTGAAGGATGAAATTCACACTTCTAAGTCTAAACATTGGCATTTGGAAGAATAACTACATTGACAGAAGTAAAAATTAAATCAGTGAACATAACTAGTCGAGCAAAGCTCTTCTAAGGCATCAAATAGTTTGAATTTTCAACTCATTATACAATCATATTTCTTCTGTTATGAAAGCTATATTTTGACAAAACAGTACTACAATATTACTTAAATAGGTAAAATAAAACTAGTTTAGCATATTATGTAATTTTTCTAGGGACAATCTGATTTTATAGAATTAGGAGACAACACATCATCACTAACAAAAACACGAAAAAAAAAAAAAAAATGTATCTAAAAAATCGTCACACGATTTCAACCACAGTATCCTCAGACCTGGAAGCACCTTCACCTTGCTTTTCCTGCACGAGACGAGTCATCCAAAAAATTTCAAGCTTTGATTTGGGGTTTAGACAATATGGGTTTTTTTAGCAGATGTGTTTTTTTTTTTTT